TCTTCGGCACTGGATATAACAGATATAGTAGCTGACATATTTTTACAATCTCATTTACTTTCACTCATAAGTTCTTGTAGCATCCTTCCTCGGAAAGAGATGTGACAAAGCCCTCCAGCCACGAGTCTATCCGTGACGTCATTGTATTACTGAATGGTCGGGAAATCGATCTGAACCAAATCTATAGATGCCAAAGATGTCGCCCTTGGCGCCACGGTTTTCGTCTGCTAGTACGTGCAAATCGTTTATACAAAGTGTAATTAACCTTTATACATAGGACACTTAATAAAGATGTTTTTTGTTATTATTAGAGTAAGGTCTCGCCTTAAAATAATGTCGTACACCATATAGTTTAAGTAAACTTTTCAAGTTGTTACTTTCACGCCTCCTTGCCAGATCGTGATTATACAACACATTTTTTAAAAAGACATGTTTGTATAGTTCACCGTTAAGTACTAGGCCTCAAATTATAATCTACAAAAACTGTCTATAAAGAGATCTGTGTAGTTTTTACACATGTTTTTCTTCTAAAGATGATATATTTTCTAAGAAGATTTGTCTCTAGTTACATAATAGAGTTTCTTCCGGATATCCGAAGCAAATTCAAGATGCGTCTTATAAATTGTGTTAATTCCATTGTCCGCTGTCGTCATTGGATATTGAATATAAAAATAGGAACTTCAAACCTGTAAGATCTGATTTTAGTCGAAATCTCTATTTAAAAACAAGTAAACTCGCAAAAAAAAACACACTTACTTGTTATTACGTTCGTCAACTAACTGTAAAATTTAAAAAAACAATATTTTGAAAGTAATTAGAAAACTGAAACTTTATCAAAACATTGTGTTGTTCGATTTTTAAACGTAAGTAACATTGGCCACGCATATCTTTTTATTATTATTATTATTTTAAAGACTTGGAATGTGCTTATCCTTCCATGTAAGTGAAATAAAACAGTATTTGAACAGAGCTTGGATAGAAAAGTGCGAAGAAGTTTCCTTTTCAGGTTCAAAAACCTCAGTTTGTTAGAGTAAACATCTTCAGATGGAGTGCTTTACCATGTTGAGAAAGTGAAAACCTTTTTGAAAAATCTTCTGCTGGAGTGCTTTTGAATTCTCCAATGATCATCCTCTTCTTCTTACACTAAACCTATCGATCGACTTTCGAACGTCGTAAAAACTGTGGTTACATCATAAAGTTTTGCCGGAGAAGCGGGAATTAGTTACTTCGCATCTAAAGTCCACTCTGATTGGCATAAAGCAACACCTGTACCAAGCTATCAAACGCATACGTGACGCGCTAGAGCGACTTTAAATAGAATAATAAGAGTTTGGTAAATCCTACACCGAATGTTTTTCTTACTTTATCTCTACAGAGGAATATTTTACCTTACAAAGTACTTTTCTAAATGTCCGGATGACTCAACGACCAAACAGACCCTTAATTCGAATGTTCCTTAAGTTTGCGCGAGAATGCTTTAAATGCCCTATAAATCGTGACGTTTGCCATTTTTAGTGTGTTTTTTTTTAGTCTGTTGTTTTATTTTTATTTTTTTTTACTTTTATAGGTATACCTCGGTTTCACCAACGGTTTCTTTGTTTCAGAACGTACTTCTGCCTCACTTCTTAACAACTTCATCTAGTCCATTTCCTGCTGCTTTTTCAGTATAGCTATGTATATATATATATATATATACTAGACGAAAACACCCAACTTTGCTCGGGTTATTAGGTTGATAGTGTGTGTATTCTGAACCATTTTAGCATAAAACTATAACCTATATACTTTTATTGCTAAGTAACATGGCATAAAATCCACTGTTGGATGCATTGTTACCAAAACGCACTGGTTTTTCTATATATTAGAAGTTGTTATATTTCTTTCCTATGTGGTTTTTCGCTAGCTTGCCTCATTAAAAAGAATTCACCGACGCTTAACTGTCTCAGCTGCACTTTTCTGCCTCTTTGTTGGTCAAGCTTGATTTCGCAAAATTTATTTATTTCAGTTAGCTATCAACTTTGAGGTTAGGGTATACTATGGGGGGGGGGAGTACTTGCCCCGTCATTTTGTGTCGGGATATGCGCTAGTCCTATAATAGTTAAAACTACCCTATAACAACCCGTAATAGTTAAAACACTCTATAACATTCCATAATAGTTTTGTTGCTAAGCGACGATATATATTGTTGATCATTACCAAAAAAAGGAGCGTGAAAGCGTTCACGACAGTATAATATCCCATTTTCTGCCTCTTTGCAGATCAAGTTTGATTTCGCAAAATTTATTTATTTTAGTTATCTATGAAATGTGAGATTAGGGTACACTATGGGGTGGGGGTGGTAATACTTGCCACGTCATTTTTGACGAGCTATGTGCTAGTAACAGTTAAAAACCACTATAACACTCCATAATAGTTAAATAACCACTCTAAAACAGTCCATAATAGTTTAAAAACTACCAAAACATAATAGTTAGAAAACACTCTAAAACATCCTATAATAGTTAAACACTCTATAACGTTCTATAATAGTTAAAACCAATCTATAGCATCCCAGAATACTTAAAACTACTCTATAACATCCCACAATAGTTAAAAACTACTCTATAACATTCCATAATAGTTTTGAAAACCTCTATAACATCATATAATAGTTAAAGAAAAACACTATAACATCCCATAATAGTTAAAACACTCTAACATCCCATGGTGGACACATTTACTTTTTACGTAGTTTTTCGCATAAAGAGATGCGCACTCACGTGAATAAGTATTAATACCCAGGTGCATATGCTCACGGTCCAATTAGTATGTGTGGAAAATTTCACCTTTTTAGGTTCTTTGTTCTTGGAGCTATGGCGGCCACATATTCTTTTCTATGTGGTTTTTCGATAGCTTACCTCATAAAAAGATGCGCACGCACGTGGATAAATAATAATACTCAGTTGCACACCCTCAGGGTCCACTTAGTATATGGGCAAAATTTCTGGTTTCTAGGTTCTTTCCTCTTGGAGTTATGGCGGTCACACACAGACACCTCCTTCTATTATTTACATATTCCTTTGTAACACAGTCTCAGCAACATCTAAACAGTGTTAGGTGAAGTTTCAATGTTCGTCTTTACGTCAAACATTGAAAAGAGTTTAATTTAAAATTTTCATGTAATTGTGTGTTTTGACTTTAAAATGTTTCATTTGATATTAGCCCTACATATCCCTTGTTTATTTGAATTATATCGGTTTCAAGTCACTGTCTTTTATTTTTGTTTTCTGTGTTAAATGTTTTACGCATATCTCTGTGTGTAATAGTGATGCTTAAGTGTTAATTGATTTATATCTGTATGCATTTGTGTATACTGCCCTTAAGTGTTAATTGGTTTATATCATTGTATGTATCTGTGTATCTTATCATTAAGTGTTAACTGATTTATATCACTGTATGTATTTGTATATCTTATCTTTAAGTGTTAATTGGCTTATATCATTGTAGTAACTGTGTATGTTGCCCTTAAGTGTTAATTGATTTATATCTGTATGTATTTGTGTATACTGCCCTTAAGTGTTAATTGGTTTATATCATTGTATGTATCTGTGTATCTTATCATTAAGTGTTAACTGATTTATATCACTGTATGTATTTGTATATCTTCTCCTTAAGTGTTAATTGGTTTATATTACTGTATCTATCTGTGTATACTGCCCTTAAGTGTTAATTGGTTTATATCACTGTATGTATCTGTGTACTGCCCTTAAGTGTTAATTGGCTTATATCATTGTATGTATCTGTGTATCTTATCATTAAGTGTTAACTGATTTATATCACTGTATGTATTTGTATATCTTATCCTTAAGTGTTAATTGGCTTATATCATTGTAGTAACTGTGTATATTAAGCGTTAAGTTGTTTTTTAAACTGTATGTATCTGCTTGTACTGTCCTTAAGTGTTAGTTAATTGTTTAATACTATATGTATCTGTGTACCTTACCCTTAAGTGTTAATTGGTTTATCTCACTGTATGTATTTGTGTATACTGTCCTTAAATGTTAATTGGGTTATATCACTGTATGTGAATGCGTATCATATTTTAAGTATTAATTAATTTACGTAAATTATTATATTTGTATTATCCGTCTTTATAAAATAGCATGATTTATGTTTGCTTGTTATGTGTATCTCATTGTGTACACGTACGTGTTCACCTTTTACCGCAGTAGTTAACGCTATTTTTCTTATTTTTTTCTGTTACAAATTTCATGTATGTGAAAAGAACTAACTGAAATTTTCTATTTTATTTGTTTCATATGGTGGTAAAAACATTTAGCGTTTCCGGATAAAAGCATCTTATCTTGTAAGGTGTGAAAAATAATGAGCGAATTAGGATAACTCAGTTTTCATGTTACTACAAGAATGTCAAGCTAGCTATCAAGAGCCGCTGAATGTTTCTTTGGTGTAGCATCTTACTGCCAGCTCGCTGTTAGACCATGCCATCACGTGTTCTTGGTCTATTCTCAATCACTAGTTTAATTTCTAGTCGTAAGAGGTCGCCAGAGGACTTAGAGATCGACATCTCAGGCCTCATGAAAAGGAATGTACCTTATTTCGTTGATAACATTATTAAACACAAACCAAAGAAAGCCCCAAAACGAAATTATATGATAAGACGTAATGCATACAAAATAACCTCCCAGTTAATAAAAAATCCCGCGCACATGACTCAAGCACAGAGAATCAAACACTCTAACACTTTTTTTATTCATGAAAATATATAGAAATGAAAGTTTTTTTTTTTGGTAATTTTTTTCAAAAACTATTTTTCATGTGAGCAGATGACCAATTTACATCGCTAATATATTAATTTTTTGTGTCTGGAATTTTTAAAATGTAGATAGTACAATATTATTATTATTATTATTTACGTATTTACCACATTATTCTGCATATTATTGGAGTATAAAAGTCTACTATTTATGTGAAACTAATGATCGAATGTTGGGTATTTTCAGATCCTTTCACTGTCAAAAGGGTTCGTGGAAGTGCAGGAGCCCCACTAAAATGTGAGTACAGTTATGGTATTACAATAAATATTTTCAACAAGTTCGCTTGTGAGTGGTCTTTAATCACCTCAGTCGTCATTATTATTAACACTTCTTCCCCTAAAAAGCCATGTAGTTAATAACTTCGATCTGACCCACGTGTCTGTAAGTTGGATTTATGGAAAAGATATCTAAACAGATGCAACATAAAAGACAATACTAAAGTACGCTAATATCACGAAACAGTTAAAATAAAAAATTGCGCAGTGAAACATGAAAAAGAGGGTAACGTTTTTTTTGAAGTGCCTGATGATATACGTTTCTCTTGGAGTGCCAGATGATATTCGTTTCTCTTGAAGTGCCTCATGATATATGTCTCTTTTGAAGTATCTGATGATATACATTTCTTCTGAGGTGCCTGATGACATACGTTTCTTCTGAAGTGTCTGATGATATACGTTTCTCTTGAAGTGCCTCATGATATATATCTCTTTTGAAGTGTCTGATGATATACGTTTCTTTTGAGGTGCTTGATGATATACGTTTCTCCTGAAGTGCCTGATGATATACGTTTCTTCTGAAGTGCCTGATAATATGTGTCTCTTTTGAAGTTCCTCATGATATTCGACTCAGTTGCACAAGAAATGTCACCCACTTTTTAATATTTTTGTTTTTAATAACGTCCTGTTTAAATTGGCTTATTGTTTTAGCATCTACATTAGGACTCCTCCACTAAAGCAAGTTGTATATGCACGTGTATAGATAGAGAGGGAGAGTTGTTAGTTAAACCCCGATATTTGTAAGACATTTGTTATACTGGTTAGTTAAAATAAAAGTATTTTCAATATTGCATTAACATCTTTTGATTAAAAAGTTTCCTTATTTTAATACTAAATGTTATCTAAAGGAAAATCACTTTACAACTTGTATTATCTTAAGGGACCTTAAAGTGAGTTGTTGAGAGAGGTATTCAGTTTAAAACTGTCAGACGACTCTGGAAACGAACAGTCTCGTTAACGTCAATACGCACGTGATTCTCGTAAAGGTTTCATTTCTGAAAGAAATTCGTTTGTGATCTCGCCGTCGTAAAGTCAAGGGCCTTAACAAAGTCCGATTAAGAACATGACGAAACTACTGGTAAAAAAAAAAAAATTCGATTAGCCCAATTTTGTGTAATACAACACCAAACTCCCCCCCCCATTCACATAAGTATTAAAACACAATATATATTGTTTGCCAGAGGAACTTTTTATATTTATCATTATGTACGAGGGGTATACAGTTAAATTCTAAGTAATAAATAGAGTACCCCTACCTTTGACATTGAATTTTAGAATTGAAAAGTAAATTGAGGATGTCTTTATCCATGTGCTTTGTACAGACCACGATTCTTAAAAAGCCTTTATTTTGGTTTGTTTGTTTGGTAAGCGCAAAGATACGCAATAGGTTGTCTGTGCTGTGACCACCATGGGTATCGAAACCCGGTCTTTAGCGTTATAAGCCTTCAGACGTATCTCTAAGCCACTGGAGGGGGGGGGGGACCTTTATCTTGAACTCTGTGTTATTCTACCGGAAAGAACAAAACACGTGCTAATATATTTTGTATTAGGCGTTGTACGTAAAACGGAAACCACATACAACAGTGTAATATTTTGTTACTGTAGAGGATAAAAAAATAGTGAGATAGACTGACGCACGAATAGACAATTGTATAGAGATTTTAATGGAGTAAACAACCATTCCCATGTAATGTTTTCTGTACAAGTTCGATGGTTGGGAATTCGCGAGGACTGGTTCTTTTTTATTAATATTATTTTATTGCACTAAACTACGAAATCTTGTTATTGATTTATTTCTGCTTGTTTTTGTTTCCTTCAGGCTCCAGTCGAATACAACATATAATAACATTTCTCTTCATCACCGAAGTGTTGTGTGTGATATTACATCGTGTGTTATGAAGAAAAAACTACATACCTCTCTCCGCTCTGAAGTGTTACTATCACCCTGAAGTGCCTACATTACAGAGCATTGGCATCCTGGCTCATTTCCTCTGTGATATTTTTGACTCAATGCCTGACGTCACAATCTGAGGTGATATCGGACGCCCTCTATGACCAGGAATATATACTAATCGTGTTTAAACCAAATACGACGTCCTTGTGCGTGTATGATGTCATTGAAGTGTCCAGCAGTGCGAAATGAGCTTCATCTTTCATCCAAAAGAAACAATATTATACTAAAAGTGTTAGCAGGGGTGTTTCTTGTAAAGTGCGTTTAGTGTCGTGAACCCACATTACCAGTTGACAACGGAGGTTGTAGTAAGTCCGGTTTAACTGAAATCAAATGGAAAAGTGCCAAGGTTCAGACCACCATGTCTTTCTTAATTATATCATGAAAAAATGATTTCGAAGTATTTCTCATATTCTTATTATTGAATATAGTATTGCTAGAAGGCCATTGAATTAAGATATTTGCCATAATCCAATATCGTATAGCTATTATTACAGCGGGTTTAAAATACTTGTCTTATAAAGGTTACTGAAAAAACAACACAAGTTGTTGACTTTTAACTAATTATTTTTTCGTTACGAAATAGCCTAATCAAGATCATAGTTTAAATCCTTCAATGTATTATTTCTAGATACTTGATAAAGCTACTGAATATAACCTTATTACTGCTTGTCAACAAGTCTTCGACCCAACGTAGCTAGCGACATCTTTTGAAAGTGTTTTGAAACTAGTCTTTTATCAGAATATTTAGCACTAAGTAGAGTCGTGCTTTATCTTAGGTTTTATTTAATATCAAAGAAAAATGCACCGTAATGTATTATTTTAGTAAAAGATGCTAGTTGTACATAATATTTGTGAAAAATACATCACAAAAATAAATATAATGTGTTATTATTCATGATCATTTGGTTTCCTTTTCATCAACGATATAAACTAATTAGTGCATACCAACCGGCTTCAGTGATTTCTGTCAGGCGCTAACAGTTCTATCAGACGCTGCTTTAAAAAAAACATTGTGTAATTTTACACTAAAAACAATAAACTAACTAACTAGAAATTTCATAATTGACTTAAAAATTTCAACCAACGTTTACATTCATGTTTTCAATTCATTCACCACGAATAACTTCAGTTTTATTTTTGTGTTAAAAGCCCGTAAACTTACCGCTGATTCACAGGAGAGGGGCATATTTTCAAACTTGATAATAAGTTATTTATGAGCGAAATGTATTTTTTCTGTGAGTATTTAGTATAGAGCCCCCCAGTGGCACAGCGGTATGTCTGCGGACTTACAACGCTAGAAACCGGGTTTCGATACTCGTGGTGGGCAGAGCACAGATAGCCCATTGAGTAGCTTTGTGTTAACTTCAAACAAACAAAAAATTTAGTATAGAAAAAAATAAGGTAAAATGTTTGATAGTTTTATGAGAACAAAAACACACCAGCCATTTTTGTCTCAGTAATATTGAACTCAATAGTCGAAAGAAAGGTTTAAATCTTCGTCAGACAGAGAATTACTAAAGTTTTTTTTTATTTAGTTTGTATAGGGAAAGTACCACTTTTGAAAATTGATATGGAAAACTAATTTGACAACATTTTCACGCTAATCACAATGGGAGTTTTTATCTCGTTTTTTTACTCCGTCATTTCGAGGGAATCAAGAGAGCTAATGACTCTCTTACTGCTCACAATACCGTCTTTATATAAAAAAAAAAACTATCTGAAAACAAACAAACTTATATCGCGACCAAGTGCAACGTTGGAAGATTAGTTATACACAGGTGGCTCTTATCTTTTGAGAATTAGCAATAATCTAATCTGTTAATAATTCAAACATCTTTTTTTAAATCATATACACTTTCGACTTCGAACGATCCCTTCTTTTTTTATACAATAAAAATTATGTGTCTGATACGAATTTCTCTCACGAACTTAACTTTATATGAATACTATAAAAGATTAAAAACAACGGGATATTATGGTTCGTCTGTGATACGGTTGTACTGTCATTTCTTAACACACATTTATAGTACGAACGTTACATAAGTTCAAAAATGAGTCAAATAGAAAGAAAACTCATACATACTTATACTTCTTAGGAGTCACAGTTTGTGTTTATGATTTAGTGTGGGTTAGATGTTGGTAAACTGAATTGTAATTATTACCAACTACAGGAAGAATTAATAACACAATATTATTTTTTAACACCGATTGTTTACTAGTATTATTATTAGTTGAATGTCAAACGTGTTGTTCTGTTTCTGGCTTAAAATGACAATTGTATGAAAATGATGACATGATGCCAAGACTAAATGTGTTTATTATTGTTAAATCTTGTTTTTTCTTGAATGAACAAAATTAGGTTCACTTATATTCCCTTCCCGACCTCCAGATGTCTCATCTGTATTAATTCCCTCTTTAACTATGCTCATATATCGTCATTTCGTTCATTTTTTTACTCTTTCTTACCTCATTTCCTCCTTTTCTTACCTGTACAAATCTATCTCATTTCCTCCTTTTCTTACCTGTACAAATCTATCTCATTTCCTCCTTTTCTTACCTGTACAAATCTATCTCATTTCCTCCTTTTCTTACCTATACAAATCTATCTCATTTCCTCCTTTTCTTACCTATACAAATCTATCTCATTTCCTCCTTTTCTTACCTGTACTAAATCTATCTCATTTCCTCCTTTTCTTACCTTTTACTAATCTATCTCTATTCCTCTTTTCTTACCTTACTACTAATCTATCTCTATTTCCT